AAAAAAAAAAAAAAAAAAAACAAATCAAATTTAAAAAAATACAAATACAAAAAAATACAAAAATTAGCTGGGTGTGGTGGCACACGCCTGGAGTCCCAGATACTCAGGAGGCTGAGGCAGGAGAATCACTTGAACCCAGGAGATGGAGGTTGCAGTGAGCCGAGACCACACCATCGCACTCCAGCCTGGGCGATAAGCGAGACTTGTCTCAAAAACAAAACACAAAACTGCTGTACACCAAGACATTTGCTGTAGCATTAGATATGTTTATAAATTGTCTAGCTATCTCATAAGAATAGAATGACTAGTAACAATGTATCCTTTTGGCAACACTGATAAAGCAATAAAATACAAAACTCAAATGAGGAGCTACAGGGGACCATGGGAAAGCCTCAGGCAACAGACAGCAAAAGCATATCCAATTGCACGTATCACAAAACGTGAACACTTTTGCCACATGTGGCTACTGAGCACTTGAAATGTGGCTTGTGGGGCTGAGGAACTGAATTTTTTATTTTGTTTTAATTAACTTAAATTTAAATGGCAGCTCTAGAAGGCAGAGGAGGCTTAATGACATGCCCCGTTAGGTAAAGATGAAAAGCAGCACGTTGCTTTGGCCGGCAGGTGGGCAGCACTGTCCTTGCAGAGCAGGGTGGCCGCCAGTAAGTCCACTCCAGTAGCCCCACCCCACAATGCAGCCACCAGACTATCCCCCCTTTCACCATGATAAAAGGAAGGTCACTGGGCCAGGTGCAGTGACCTTAATTCCAGCACTTTGGGAGGCCGAGGTGGGTGGATCAACTGAGGTCAGGAGTTGGAGACCAGCCTGGCCAACATGGTGAAACCCCGTCTCTACTAAAAATACAAAAATTAGTTGGGCATGGTGGCTCACGCCTGTAATCCCAGCTATGCAAGAGGCTGAAGGAGGAGAACCACTTGACCCCGGGAGGTAGAGGTTACAGTGAGCCGAGATCGCACCACTGCACTCCAGCCTGGGCAACAGAGCGAGACTCCATCTCCAAAAAAAAAAAATTAGCCGGGCGTGGAGGCAGGTGACTGTAATTCCAGCTACTCGGGAGGCTGAGGTACGAGAATTGCTTGAGCCCAGGAGGTGGAGGTTGCAGTGAGCCAAGATCACGCCACTGCACTCCAGCCTGAGTGACAGAGTGAGACCCTGTCTCCAAAAAAAAAA